TTGACTCTTTTTTTTTCTGTTGCCATATAAACCTAGATATATCTTTCTGCCATTGCTTAAATGTACATCAGTTGTTAAAATAGGTATTGTTTAAAACAAAAACATATTTCTAGGTAAAACATTCATTTTTATCAAAGAAATTCTCCCCAACAGTGACAATGGTAATTTTTCCCATCTTAATGCCCTTAATTTCATTCCATATCTTAAACATAATTATTTTGAAATAACATACAATTCATATTGGTCATAGTAATACCCAGGTATTTTACTTTTTTCTCAATCTGAAAACTAGTTTTTGCAATCAATTCTTTGTGATCTTCCATCTTCATATTTTTGTCAACATCTTCATTTTTTTATTATTAATTTTAAATACAGTTAATGCACCAAATTCCTCTAACCTTTCCACTGATATCTCCATTCCTTCCACAGGATTTTCCAAAATTAGAACCAAATCATCTGCAAATGTCCTTTTTTAACCTTCACACCAGCAATTATCTTGTCTTATGTCTTTATTCTTTTTGTTTTATTGATTAGTCATTTGACTATAGGATAAAATAGACTATAGTGAGATAAAATAGATAAATGTAGTAAGGTAAGATAGAGCAAGGATAAAAAGTAGGATAACATAGTATAAGATAAAACAGAGTGCAGAAATATGTAATAAAATGAATATTAAAATTTGAAAACAGTATGTGTTTAGGTGAATTAATCACCTTTGCATGCAACCCCAATGTGTTCTATAAAATGTGTTCTCTGTTGGACAGCCCTAACTATAAATTTGACAATTCTGGTGGCTACATATTTGTTTGTGCCCTGGAGGAAATAAGATAATCTTTTGTTAGAGTCCCAATATATGGTTCTGTCAAGTAGTGTCTGTAAGTACTGTTACACATGCTGCTCCCAGGTTCGGCTTATGGTCACTCACACACACACTCACAGCCTGTTGAGGCACGCAGATCTTGTCAGCCCCCCTTGCTTTCTACCTGGGTTTTCCAGTGAGGTGCGGCTGGAGCAGAGAAACCCACAGCCCTGGTCAACAGCCGGGAAATAATAGGGATACA